TTTTGGGATATATCCTAGTTGATGAATATAATCTTGAACATTTTTAGAACCAATTCTACGTAAAGTTTCGTCTGGAGGGGTACCTAAAACTTGTAAAATTCTGTTCAGTTGGTTGACGTAATCTTTACCTTTAAAGATCGGTTTTCCACCTAAAAATTCAGCCAAAATACAACCAGTCGACCAAATATCGATAGCTTTTGTATAACCTTGATAACTTAACATAATTTCAGGAGCACGGTACCATCTTGTAGCCACATATTCTGTTAAGAATTGATTGTTTTCTACGGGGTTTTCCGAATAACCTCTAGCTAACCCAAAATCACAAATTTTAAGCTGACAATCAGCATTTACTAGTAAATTACCAGGTTTTAAGTCACGATGTAAAACATCAGCAGAGTGAATATATTTCAAACCACATAATATTTGGTAAATGAAACTTTGATAATGAGCATCTGTCAAAGACTGGCCTGATTTAATGATCTGATACATATCACACTCCATCAATTCTTCATACAAATATAGACCATTGAAAGAGCCATCATTATTGAAAACAATATCCAGATCATACAAACATGTGATATTCTTATGACCCCTGAAATGTCTTAACAATTTTAACTCACGCAAAGATCTTTTACAAAGTAAAGTCTTTGAGAAAACATTTGTAACTTTCTTTATAGCAACAGTTGTGTCATCAGCAGCTTCAGTGAAACGAGCTGAACATACTACACCATATGCACCATGGCCAATTTCTTTGATCAAGGCAAACCTTTTGTCGACTGTAAAGTCTTGATTAAAAACCTTGAATGTATGCCTTTCTATTTTCTCCATTATCAAACCAACTATACTATCTCTTTTCAGACTCCTGATATTTCCCCCCTTTAAAAAAAGCTGTGTTACTTTATTCTATAGAACCTCAACCACAACCTAACACTTTAATACAATGAACCTTCTTACAACTATCCAGTAGAAACTGAGGTAGACTAAAAGTATTGAAAGAATTTAACAATTCCAATATTTAAAGCAATCTTAAGCCTGTTAACGAAGTTCCTTTAAACTAAATCAAAATCTTGATCTGATTAGAAACCTTTTGCAATGCAAAAAAAATAAAATAAAAACAAAATCAGGATAAACCAAAATAGACTAAAACAAAACCAAAAAAACCTAATACAGAAAATTAATCGATATAGTCTCACTTAAATCAATTCAACACGTATTTCAGCTAGGGCACTCTTAGTCAAATCCTATTGTATTTTTTTCGAATTTACTGTTCTTATTATAAGGTAAAAACCCTAATATAATTTGTCTCAAATAATTTTGACAGATACAGCCTATCAATGTACCTTATTATATATATTTAAATTTCCAACAACAAAAACTTAAAGAAATATTATTTCTCTTAAGGCTTAATGTATCTCCAAACTAAACTTACTAATGGGATTGTATTTATTCATCTACATTTCCCACTCACCACTGCTAACTTGCTATAAATCAAAAAATTTGATGCATTTTTTAACACGGCCAAAATTTTTCAAACAGCCAAAAATTCCAAAAAAAGAAAGTAATTCCATAAATTTGATGCTATTTTTAGTCTCACAATTTGGGAAATACAGAGACAAACGGTCCGTCGTTTCTTTTATAAAATTGAAGATATTTCCTAATTAGGAAAGAAAGGCTTATTTCTTTAACGGTTGATGATCAAATCAGTTAATTAATCAATGAGATACAATTTTTGATTGGGATCTCTTCTGTCATTATGGTTATTGCTTTTGGGTAAAGGAGAAGGAGTTGCCTAAATATCGAGTGTCACAGAGAACCTTATTTTACTACATCTAGTTTTTTGTAGAAAGTTTTCACCTTTTCATTAGCTCTTATTCTTTTTGGATTAAAATTTACTACTTGTAGGTTCTCTTTTGATGTTGCTCTTGACAGGGCAACGTACACTTGACCAGCTTCGAAAATATTGCTTAGGTCTACTTTCAGACGTTGGATTGTTTGTCCTTGTGATTTGTGGATCGATAGGGCCCAACACAACATAATTGGTAATTGCGTTCTTTGCAGCCCGGTATTACTACCTGGTAAATCAACTACAAAATTATCTGGTAACATCAATTCATGATGGAATCTTGTTGTTGTAATTGTCCATCTAATTAGTGGAAATACAGGTTCTTTTTCTGAAATTGTCACTGCTATGTTTATCATTGTTTCTAATCTTTCTAATCTTGACATTGGTCTTTGATTTAATTCGTTTTTGAACTCATTCGACTCTCTATATACGGGTTTTCCAATAACTTTACTCACTAATCTCATGTCTCTAATCGCTTCTTCATCCATGTACCTGTATAAATCGTTCATTTTTTTTTCAAGCTTCTGGGGAATGAAAAATAATACCTTACCCAATGAACCATTAACTAATTCAGATTCAGGTTTGTTCCTTAACATCATAACTTGAGCATCTTCTTTTAATGTTATTACTTTTTCTACCATCACAGAACTGTCTAAAAGGTCCATGTACTCTTTTGGAGCTACATCAATGCTAACAAACTCATATAATTTGCCTGGTAATGATTGCAATTGCCTAGAGTTAGATGCTTCGACTTCCCTTCTAGTGGCATATAATTCGGTTGGTCGAATTCCATCTTCGTAATTTATTTCTCTATTTAAAGATCTAATCGTCTTTACCATAGCTGGCTGAATTTCACCAAATCTGATAGAATTTAAGATTTCGATTAATTCGTTATCTTGTTGTCTAAAAACTTTTGTTAGTAGAATTGTCTTTTGAATGCAGGTTGGCCACATTTTACTTTCAAAACAAAATTGTGACAATTCATTAATTTCTCGTTTTGGTACAGGAGGTAATTGAAAGAAATCACCTGTAAGTACTAACTGAATGCCACCAAATGGTTTATTGTTTTTCCTAATTCTTCTTGCAAGTTCTTCTAGTTTATCTAAAAACTTCCCATCAATCATTGAAATTTCATCAATAATCAAGACTCTTGTATTCCTCCATGAAGCCAACAGATCAAATTTTCTTTGAATTCTACTCAATATCCTATCGATAGCACCTGTACCAATACCGATCCCCGCCCATCTATGTAAAGTGACACCGCCGATGGTTGTTGCTGCCAGACCCGTTGATGCAGTTATTGCGACGTATTCTTTCCCATAAAGTTGAGTTAACCTTTCTATTACATTTCTAAGAATAATAGACTTACCAGTACCTGCAGAACCTGTATAGAATACGTTCATTCTTCTTCTTACAATGTATTCTACCACAGTTTCTTGTTCTTTTGTCAACTGTACTAATGAAGTTGTTGGCTTCCTAGCAGATGTAACAGAACCACCTAATATTGATTTTTCACGTTTAATAGGCTTTATTCTTTTATGAGAACTTAAGTTCAACCCATGGAAAGAATGTCTTTTCAACGGATTACTACCAGAAATAGTCGAATCTTGTGAAGATGAGAATTGAGTACTAGTTTGCGATTCTGAGAAATCACTACTATCTAGATCCAAGTTTCTAGTGAAAGATAATTGTCTTGAACTACTATTATTCGAGGTATAAGAAGTAATTGAATTGAAAGTACCTGATTCCTCATCTTGTATCATTGTATGGGATACAGTAGAAGAATTCGACCTTTGTAATAAAGGAACTCTCGTAGGAGTACCACTTCTTTTAAAATTATTAAAAGTTTGACCTTTAATCAATTTCTTGAATTCTGAATCTGGGTCACACTCTTCGTCGAACGAACCTTGAGAATTGAATAACATTGATGATTTCGAATTCACATTCCTATTTGATATAGTAGTTTTCGAATTAATAATAGTTTGACGAGTTTCCTGGATGGAATCTTGAATCACTACGACATGTTGCTCTTTCTTTCTAGCCTCGTGTACCACCTCTTCCTTAACACGATTGCTCCTATTAAAGAAAGAAGCAATCGATTTCTGCTTCAAAGAAAGTTTCTGGTCATTAGAACTTTTGACATTGCTAGGTTTGCCTGACCCTCTTTTCATACCTAATATATATCAACCCTCGAAACTGCCAACAAACAAACAAACAAACAAAATAAATAAATAAATACGCTGGTCTTAAAACTCAACCACAGACTACCAATCCAATCCAACAACTATTAAATAACCTTCAGCTCATCTCATCTCATCTCATCTCATCAATTTTAAATATGTAAACAATTCGAATATTTTTTTCCTCCCATTGATCTATACAATTTAAGCTATGCTATGGTATATACATATATTTTCTAAATAACAATTATAACTATGACAGTTTATTCAAGTTCAATGTCACTATCATCATCGAATACAGATCGTGGTGGCATTGCAGTTTTAAATTCTTGTATATCTTTGTCATCGTCTTGATCAAATATCACATAACTTGCTCTTCTTTCTAAAACTATTGATCCAACATTACTACTGACAAGATTGTTATTATCGTTATTGATATTAAGGTTGTTATAACTAGTTGAAGTTTCAGAAACATGTAATACATTGGTATTTGGTTGATCTTCACATCTAGAGTAGTCAAAGCCAGGAGGTGGTGAAGTTGGTGGTGATACTAGAAACATTTTATCACTTTTTGGTACTTTTAAATAATCTTTAGTTATATTTGTAATGGTATCAGTTAGAGAGAAATTAAAAGACCAATGGTCAAAATGAATTGATCCTGTGGTAACTAAATCTTTTGCAATTAATCTCGACGGACATACTAAGATTAGTCTTTTAAAGCTATGGATTTTAATCAATTGTATTGGGTTTGATACTTCAACTTGAAATTTTAATAGTATTGTCTCATTTAGCCAATGGACCAATCTTAAAACGTTGTCATCTGTTGTAACTGATAGAGATGGATCAATCGAACTTTTATTGGTGACTATTACAGTATTAGTAGACATATCTTATGAACAGTTTGGACCTTGTTATACACTCATCCCATATGTATATCGATCATAAACAGTTCTAGTTAATTCTATTAACTGTCAGTCTAGTCCTTTTTTTAATATGGATTTAAAAATTCGATTTAAAACATATTTAAGCTACTTTAACAACGATGGATTCTTAATAAGAATACTAGTTTGTACTAATCTGTTAGACTAGCACCCTGTGAACAAGTGATATATAATTGAAAGGTACCTACTGTATATAGTTTTATTTTTAGTTTGCCTTCTATTTCGGTTTCTGTCATATTATTACTTCTAACCAGAGCTATCTGTTTCTGATCTGTTCTTAATATAACAAGAAAGGTTATTTCAAAGGGTGATACTATAACGATTGGTTTTACAATTTGTTGGAGGAGACAGATGTATTCATCAAGACTGTTGTCTCGAGGTCTACGTGTACCTGCAAGAAGTCTGAAACCTTTTATAAACCCATTAACAAAATCTATATATTCATTGCCAAATACCATTTCTTATCCTGTATATAATAACACTAGACAATTATTCACTGAAACTTCTCACAGATGTGGTAAATGTGAAGCTATTAAATCAATGGCTAAAAAGTATGTATATGTATTTGTCATGTTTCTTCCACCTTTAAAACAATAGTTACAGAGATCCATCGTCTGTGTCTTCAGCCTGAGTTCCAATGGAAAAGTTACAATCTTTGCAAAGTAGCCCATAGACATATATCAGAAAAGCCACACATGTACTTAAGTAATCAAGAATTGCAACCAAAATAGTTCAGTCATCTCTAGAAAAGGACAAGGGGAAGAGTTTTACAACTTGATAGTTTTAAATCTTTCTTCGTTGTTACTGCAAAAAACATGTAATTAAGCAGCAGCATCAACTCACAGCCTATTAAACTTGCGACAACAAGGGACAAACCATACACTAATAGTAATAACTATCATTGACTGTCAAATGATAGTTTCAATCTCATTGTGATCACCCAACGTCAAACTATAACATCATCAACAACTGCTGATTTATATATCAAATTGCCCTTTTCAAATTGGACTATCACCACTTTAACAAAGAGAAAGAAAAGGTTTAAAAGTTACTGCAACAAACCAAGAAACAAAGAAATAGAAAGTGGTTTAGTTGTGTACAATAGGAGTTGTAAGGCTGAATTGAAGTGATCTGTAGCTAGTTGGTCAAAAGTTGTATCTTTGAATTGTTAAGGATTTATTCTTTTTGTTTAATCTAGGCTTTTTTTACTTTTGTTGTTTAATATACTAACAGAAACCTTTATTTTATTTTAACACTTGGATTAAAAAAAAAATAATAATATTGATATGTCTAGTTCAATTGAAAGAGAAGTATTGCCAAGCAATGTTCAACCATTGCATTATGATTTAGAAGTTGAACCAGATTTTGAAACTTTTAAATATTCTGGTAACGTTAAGATTGATTTGAAAGTTAAGGACAAAACAATTGATAATGTTAAATTAAATGTTGTTGATATTGATGTCCACTCTGCTAAGATTGGTTCTTCAGATGCCAAAACTATTTCAATTGATGAAGATAAACAGATTTTATCCTTAGATTTTGAAGATGGTGTTGTTTCTAAGAATGACCAAGTTCAATTGGAAATCTCATTTACTGGTAATTTAAATTCTAATATGGCAGGTTTCTACAGAGCTAAATATGAAGATAAGTTAACTGGCGAAACTAAATATATGGCCACCACTCAGATGGAACCAACTGATGCAAGAAGAGCTTTCCCTTGTTTTGATGAACCTAATTTAAAATCTACTTTTGATGTGACTTTAATTTCCTCTCCAATTTACACTCATTTATCAAACATGGATGTTAAATCAGAAATTGAACAAGATGGTAAAAAAATTACCAAGTTTAATACTACTCCAAATATGTCAACTTATTTAGTAGCTTTCATCATTGCTGAATTAAAATATGTTGAAAATAAGGATTTCAGAATTCCTGTAAGAGTTTATGCCACTCCTGGTAACGAGAAAGATGGTCAATTTGCTGCTGATCTAACTGCTAAAACTTTAGCATTCTTTGAAAAATCTTTTGGTATCCAATATCCATTACCAAAAATGGATAACGTTGCAGTTCATGAATTTTCTGCAGGTGCTATGGAAAACTGGGGTTTAGTCACCTATAGAGTCGTAGATTTATTATTGGATAAGGAAAATGCTACTTTAGATCGTATCCAAAGAGTTGCTGAAGTTGTTCAACATGAATTGGCTCACCAATGGTTCGGTAACTTGGTTACTATGGACTGGTGGGAAGGTTTATGGTTAAATGAAGGTTTCGCTACTTGGATGTCATGGTACTCTTGTAATGAATTTGAACCAGAATGGAATGTCTGGCAACAATATGTTACTGATACTTTGCAGCATGCTTTATCCTTGGATGCCTTGAGATCTTCACATCCTATCGAAGTTCCAGTTAAGAGAGCCGATGAAATTAACCAAATTTTTGATGCTATTTCCTACTCTAAAGGTGCTTCCTTGTTAAGAATGGTCTCTAAATGGTTAGGTGAAGATGTCTTTATTAAGGGTGTATCCGAATACTTAAAGAAGTTTAAGTACTCAAATGCTCAAACTGAAGATTTGTGGACCGCTTTATCTGAAGCTTCTGGTAAAAATGTTAGTGAAGTAATGAACACTTGGACAAAGAAAGTGGGTTTCCCAGTTGTTTCTGTTAACGAAGATGGAAACAAAGTAACTTTCACTCAACACCGTTATCTATCAACAGGTGATGTCAAACCTGAAGAAGATGAAACTCTGTATCCAGTATTCTTATCCTTGAAGACTAAGGAAGGTGTTGATAGCTCATTGACTTTGAATGAAAGATCAAAGACTATTGAATTAAAAGATTCTGAATTTTATAAAGTCAACAGTGACCAATCTGCCATCTACATCACTTCATACTCGAATGATAGATGGAATAAATTCGGTAAACAATCCCACTTGCTATCCATTGAAGACCGTACTGGTTTAGTAGCTGATGCCAAAGCTTTATCTTCTTCTGGTTATACTCCAACTACTAACTTCTTGAAATTGGTCTCTGACTGGAAGCAAGAAAAATCTTTTGTTGTTTGGGATCAAATCATCAACAGTATTTCATCAATGAAGGCTGCTTGGTCTTTCGAACCAAAAGAAGTAAGAGATGCATTGGAAAACTTTACTATGCATTTGGCTTCTGAAAAGGCCAAATCATTAGGATGGGACTTTACAACTAAAGAATCTTTTGCTGACCAACGTTTGAAGGTTGCTTTATTCGGTGCCGCTTGTGATTCCAAAGACCAAGTAATTGAAAAGGCTGCTTTGGAAATGTTTGCTCAATACAGTGCTGGTGATGAAAAGGCTATTCCTGCTTTGATTAAACCAAGTGTCTTTAATGCTGCTGCTAGAGTTGGTGGTGTTGAAAACTATGAAAAATTGTTCAAGATTTACAACAATCCTATGTCTTCTGATGAAAAATTAGCAGCTTTAAGAGCTCTTGGTAGATTTTCTGATCCTCAGTTATTAGAAAGAACCTTAGGTTACTTATTTGACGGAACTGTTTTGAACCAAGATATCTACATTCCAATGCAAGGTATGAGAACTCACAAAGAAGGTATTGAAGCTCTTTGGGGATGGATGCAAACCAATTGGGACGAACTTGCAAAGAGATTACCACCAGGTTTATCTATGTTAGGTTCCGTAGTTGTCATTGGTACTTCTGGTTTTACATCTTTGGAAAAAGTTAAAGAAGTTAACGAATTTTTTGATAAGAGATCTACTAAGGGTTTTGATCAAAGTTTAGCTCAATCTTTGGATACCATTACTTCCAAAGCACAATGGGTTAACAGAGACCGTGGAGTGGTTTTAGCTTACTTAAAAGAAAATGGCTATTATAAATAAGCAGAACTGTAGAGGTACGTAGGTAACTTTTTCAGTTCTTGTTTCTATGGTAAATAAATCTGTATGTTTTTATCTAAGAAAAACGAGAAAATATTGATTCACAAGTCATTTAATGTAATTTAATTGATTTGATTTCTATGTCTATATGTAAGTATAAATTTAATTTAAAAAATATGAATCATAAATCATGAGTCGTGCTGTACAATTGTCAAGTATCATTTATACCTTTTACGATACCATTTATAAACTTTCCAATAACCTTTTGGTACACCTAAATTATTTCTATCCATAGTCTGTCTTATAGCTATCAGCTCTTTAATCGAATATAATCTTTTTGAAGAAGGTTTTATAGATGTCGGTAGTTTCAAAGAAGAAATGTTGCTAATATCCAGTCTGTTCAAATAATATGATTTGAAATTTGATTTGTAATCAATAATTGGGTATAAATCTGCATCGTTGAATTCTGATGGGGAAACACCTATTTCACTTCCTATATAAATATTAGAGCTATTGCAATTGTAGAGTTTTCTATATCTTGTGAATATAGTTAATCCAAATACAAGACCATAAATAACAGAAACAATCATAAACCACATAATAAAGTATTGAAATCCTTTGATCAACGTATTCCAACCTTCTGTATCATTGTCAATGGAATATAGATCATCATCTGACGAGTCGACACCATCTGAATACCATTCCATAGCCACCTCTTAGGATAAAACCCAACTGTTTTTTTTATTTCTTATTTTAAACTTTCAATGTGAATTTATATGTGTATTTTATTTTATAGTTGTATATCAATTCGAATTGTATTTGGGTGTGTATAAATATGTGTGTCACTCGTATCAACTCTCTGTAAAGCTTGGGTTTTTTCAATATGTGACCCTAACAACACTATTACTATAGATAAATCAAAACATTGGTCGAGACGTTCCCTTAAACTGTTTGAAATTGACCTGACTGGCACACACATACACACATACACACTCTCACACACATACATACATACAGCTCAAGGTTCATTGGCCAACTAGCAAGTCCACTTTCACAATGAAGAACATCATTGACTAAGGTCAACGATATGCATTTGTGTCAATAACGATATCCAAACCAAGACCTTATTAACAAGGAATATCAAAGGTGAATGAACTCAAACATATTTTGTGTTTTTAACATATCCCAAAAACCCAAAACACACACACACACACACACACACTAAACCCAAAAACAATATAAGCAGAGTGCCCACAAGTATACGAATTTAACTCAAAAACCCATTCCAATCCATTCCAATCCAAAACTTTTATAGTTCCATCAATAGATTGAATCCAATCGATCAATTATTCTCACTACTAAATCAAAATCTCAAAGGCTCTTGATACCAATTTCTACCCTAAAATAACCAAACCAAAACCATAACAACAAATTCTTTCGATATATCAAGTGAATATCAACCTTCAATAACCTGATAATCAACACTTCAACCCAATCAACCAAAACAATCTACTAAAATCAGGTTGTTTATTAAATAGTTTCATCTCATCTCATCTCATCTCATCTCATCGCTGATTCAATATTTTCTTTTTTTCCAACCTTTAAGATATTACCCCGGATTTAACACTGTATCTCCATTCCTTTTCGAAACTGGATATTTTATAAAGTTTGAAAAATTATTGGTTTCGAGATTATATACGTATATAAGGAAGGAGGTTATTAATCAATTATATATACATAAAAGGTTCATTTTATTTAATTTGAAGTCGATTTCCAGTTTGCTTGAGGTATCGGAAGGACACATTCATAGGTTGTCTTTTAGGATTATATTTTTTTGTTATCAGATTGACTAAATTTGAGACGGAGCAGTAGGATCAATTCTTAAGACAAGGATTTATTTAAAAAGAAATTACATTATGGGTATAATTTGGAATGATTCCCCAGTAGAGAAAGGGGATTTAGAGGTCGATTTATGTCTTTTCGACTTGGATGGTACCATTGTCAATACAATTGAAGCTTCTGAAAGTGCTTGGAAGAGCATTTGTTCTCAGTATGATGTCGATCCAGAGGAATTGTTCAAGTTTTCTCACGGTACGAGAACCGTAGAAGTTTTAAATAAATTCTTCCCAAAATTGGACAACACTGATAATAAAGCTGTCAAAATGTTGGAAATGTCAATTGCAACAGATTACAAAGACCAAGTACATCTGGTTCCTGGCTCGAAAGATCTTTTGTTATCGCTGGATCGGGATACAGACTCTGGTGAAATCTTTAATGAAAGAAAATGGGCTATTGTCACTTCAGGCTCTCCATATTGTGTATTCTCTTGGTTCGAGAATATCTTAGAAGAGGTAGGGAAACCAAAAGCTTTCGTCACAAGTTTCGATGTCACTAATGGGAAACCGGATCCTGAAGGCTATCTTTTGGGTAAAAAACAATTATGTGACGTTTGGGATTTAAATTTCGACAATACAACTAGTACTGTAGTATTTGAAGACGCTCCTGTTGGTATAAAAGCTGGGAAAGCAATGGGTGCTTATACCATAGGTATCACTTCTTCTTATGATAAAAATATTTTATTCGATGCTGGTGCAGATTTTGTAGTAGAAGACTTAACTCATGTTTCAGTAGTTAAAAATACTAAAAATGGTAAAATTATCCTAAAGATTTCAAATCCTTTATCAAAGGATTGATTTGGAAAGGATAATTGTAACCATTTTGTAATGAATTTTTTATGAATATTAATTAACGTTAGACAAATTATCTAAATGTGTTTCTTTTATAAATTTTATATAGTTAATTTACGTATTTTGTTTGACTACGATTAATGTCCTTCCACATTGTCTGATTGGGTTCACTATCTACAAGTATAACTGTCCATGCACCACCTCTCATTTGATTTTATTCTCTTTGTCGGTGCTAGACTGTTCGGTTTGAATGTAATTTTTCTCGTAATAATGATACAATTCAAAGCATACCTCAAATGCAATTAAATATATAATGATCCATTCTAAAAATGTACTCTTCCTTTCATTAAGCACTGCCAACAATGCTCGAGATTCATCCGTAGAATAGTCTAATTTGCTGTTCAATATGTTAATCCGTGGAACTACATCTAGATATTTCGATACGTTCTTGTAGATCTTCTCTAATTGTGGTTCACTCCAATATAAATCTGGAGTTTCGATTATTTCAGAATATAAATTCAACTTGCCTCGAATTAAAAATAATCTACCGATTGATTTTAGAAAATCTCTTTCATTAAGATTCATTTTTTTCCCATTGGATACTGATTCTGTGATAATTCTCGATCTATTGATATGCTCCTCTAATGCTGATTCTAAAACTGCCAACGAAGTACTTCTCGATATACCACTAGAAAAGGCTGCTTTATCCAGTAGACCTGATGTTTGATCGATAGAATTGATAACAATGACATCTTCAGCTATAAAACTGGCTTCATTCGCATCCCCTGAAGGTAGTAATTTCAAAGTCGTTTCATCTTCATTATCTAATTCAATAAAATCTAAATCTTCACTCTCATATTTATCGGGTACTAAAGGGTTGATGATGGCAGATTCTATCAATGGTAATATATTGTTCGTTAGAGTGTTTTCATCAAATCCCCAACTGACAACTGACCCATTTTGTCCCAACACCATAATATCACCTCGAACCCCATCATATATATATTTGAAAGTAACAATCTCATTTGGAATCAAATTCGAAGGTTGTAAACCATTGAGGTTAAGAAGTCCAATTGCTTTACTTAAATCGTATCTTTCACCGGTAGTAATTGTAGTACATACCTTAACTTTATAGTTCGTTGATAGATTTTGAACATTCCAATCTTTCTTCAAATGTTGTGCCTTGGAATATTTAGGAACAAAACTTCTTCTAAGATATCTTGAAGGATTCTGCTGTATACTTCTTGGTGATCTAACCATCTTCATCCTGATATAGGGAATATCATCTTCAATAGTCTTTTGTTCGCTATAGCAACGTTTGGCTGATATTCGAAAATTGCATTGGTTTATTAAAGAAGTTTGACTTAAACAACGATACCATCTGAAGCAGGGTTTAAGATTGGTGGTCGTTAACATTTAGATATAGTTGTTGGTTTCAATCATATCTCATTATAGTGTATTACCAATTTAATCAGGTATTTATTTTTAAAGTGTACGGTTTAAATAGGAGCGGTTTTCTTAGCTGAAAAATTGTCTAGTAATAATTTTGTCAGTGATTAATAAAACTACCAGTAAAATGCATAGCATAATGCAATTCAATGATATAAATACCAAACCTAAAATGGGGGGTACAGCTTTACTGAACGATTTATTTGAATTATATAGTTTCATATATATTGTAAGTGGTAGGATAGCTCCTAGCGATAATTTTGGGAGAGACTGGAATGTATATATCTTGAATCATCAATCTTTGTATTCATATTTTAAATCACCAGCAACATGACTCCAGAAGGATTTAATGAATTCATGTTGTTCTTTTTCGTTGGATCCACCTCTGATAGCAAAATAACATCTTCCATTAAGTGAAACATCCCAATTGTTAGGATTACCATTGACAATCAGACCCCCAGTTTCGTTAAGAATACACCAACCAGCACACACGTCCCAGCACCATGGACCACCTTCCCAGTAACAATCCATCATACCAGTAGCAACGTAACATATATTCATTGCAGCGCTTCCTAGACTTCTGACACCATGTATCAAAGCACCATCTTGACTTAGAAGATTCTTACAGGTTTTGGCCTTAATATCGAAATTGCCACTATCATCTCTCTCAGAACCACTTTCAAACCCAACTAAAGCTTTTTGCAAAACTAATGGTCTTTTAGCTACTTCAATTGGAGTTCCATTTAGGAATGCACCATTACCTTTGGATCCATGAAATAACTGGTTTAAGTGAGGATTGAAGACTACACCAACAACCGGTTTTTGGTTTTCTGATAAACCTAAGGAAATACAACTATAAGGAAATCCATGTATGAAGTTTGTTGTACCATCGATTGGATCCACAATAAATGTTGGTTCATTTGTTATCTTGGTTACACCTTTAACATAACTCTCCTCGCCAATGAATTTGAAATTAGGGTACTTTTCTAACAAATAATTTTTCACTATTGATTCGACTTTCTGATCAACTTGAGTGACTAGATCAACTGAGTTTGCCTTGTCTTCATATGATTCAAATTTTGTTCCTGATTGAACTTTGATAAGAGGACCAACTTCCTCTTTGACTAAATTAATCAATGCATTTTCAATACTTTTCAGTTCTTGCTTAGAAAGAGCCATCCTTGAAATTGAATATATTTGAAATATTCCGCGATAGTATCAACTCTAATACCCTTTACGTAGCTAACGAAATGAATACTATAATAGATAGATCAGAAATGAAAATATATCCTAACTAAAAATTAGACCATTAGAGTGTAAAATACTATTACATCCTTTAAGATCAATCACATGAATTGTTGCACCTCTAAACTTCGTGAGAGATGCGATCACCCAAATTTATTTCTCGATACAGTCAAGAGCAACAATTTCTAGAGAAATGATTGTTCAATGAAGAATCTAAGGATGAGTCGTGTTGGATTTAGATAGCTCGTGTGGAATCAATCTAGTGGAATCTGATGAGGGTAATTAACCATGGGAAGGAAGTAATGCATACGTACAACTATGATATGAGATGAAATGGATACTATAACCAGCGTTAAAGATACTTTTGGACATATTGATCAACATAACTAGAGAGCGATATAGATATATTGAATTCTTGTATCAGTCATCTACAAAAGCGGTTGAATGTAAAATATTTGTGTGTCACTAAAGAAAAAATATATCGCTTTCTCTTAAGTTTTCAGCGCTCTATAACAATGAACTGGATGATAGATCAACTGGTTAAATAATTCCAACTAGGTTATCCATTATATAATAATTCTGTTCAATAGTAATAACAACGACTGCGATTTAACCCAACTAATTAACAGATATAATAGAATAGATAGCCTGTCATTTAAAGTTACCCTACTATCAACCTCCAAAATGAACTGTTTCCACGGAGATTAGACGGAAACTAGAATCCCATTTCCGTATTATATCCTATTCATGAACTATGATCACAATCACGTGATCTAGATATTCCTTTCAATCTCCAAATTTTGAGCATAACCGCTAGGGATTATCCCCTTCCCATCTCACCAATAGTAGATATATCAAATACCATTACAATATCCATTTTGTATATCCAACCAACAGAGCAACCAGGACTTTTTTAAAGAATAGATACCATTTCATGTTTTGCTCTGGCTGGCTCGACTAGGATTACCTCCATCCTTCATTGTAAATCTTACTATGACCAGAAATATATTACGTCAGTATATTATTCAATCAACTAATTGATATATAAACCAATGAAAAAATTTCATTGACTTCAATCGAACCTGTTGTTCTCATCATACTCTCATTAATTACAATATATATTAGTGTCTTTTGTATCGTTTTTAAGATACTCAGCTAAGCAAATTTTCGTTGTCGTCCTTTATTTATAAAAGATAAAACAGCAGTCAAGATCTTCAGTTTGTTGGTCTTTCACTAAAGAACAATCAAGAGTCAACGATATAACGTCTGGATGTTTAAAATTATTCCAAGGTCATTTTTAAGTGAGTTTGTTTTTATTTACATTGATACACTTCGCCCATGTTCAATTTGAAGTTTGTTTGAGGAGCCATTAAGAGAGGTAATGATCCTCTTTTAGTATTACGTTTCAGAAACCGTCATGAATCTAGAAATACTATCGATATATCGGTCTGTCTCTAGTATGTTGCCATCAGGTTCTAGTATGTGTTGCTATACTTTGAATATTTTTTAATGGTTGTGCCTTTTGGTAGGAATATATGGTTACAAAAATTGGCTGTCTTCATTATACATTTGTCCTAATGCAGAGAAAAATGGGTAGCGAAAAATGTCCTAGTTTTGTTTATTTTAGTTCTTTGATCGTATAAATTATAAATTCACGCAAACTTTCCAAATTAGGAAAATTCGTTCTAAGATCGGAATCAAGATACTTCCTATTTAGGATACTAACAATGTAGAATCCAATTCGGTTTCGAAAGTATTTTTTTTTTCAGTCTGGCAACAGTGATGAAGATTTGTTCCAGTTGTTATGCAGGAAAATGTGAGACCTCATCGATTTCCCAGGTTCAAGTTCATCTCATTCTTGGGTTTACAGTTTCCTTCACTAATAGGAACCTGTAGAAGCAAGTTCTACCGAAATTTAAAATAATAAGAAAAAAAAAGACTAAAAGCAAAACAGATTTGATATTCTTTCTTTATTGTTCATCGAATCTTCAAATTTCATTCTCAAGGGTACTATTTAGTGCCAACGGAATTCAAAACTTCAAAAGACACACACACACAGACACACACACATATATATATATATATATATGTTCTCAAATACTGTTTGTCATCTTAAGTTTAGTTGAGACATACAATAGTAAAAGAGGCGAACCTAGGAACTACTTGAGTATCAAGCCGGCCTTACAGGAATAAGGATATGCGATTTGGAGACTTTATTACTGAGTCTGCAATTCCAGAATGGAAGGGAAAATACATCCAATATAATACAGGTAAAAAAAGGTTAAAAGAATTTGCTGAATTGTTAAGTAAAGAGGAAACTTTGGAAGATTCTCAGCATTTGATAGAAGCATTTCCAACCGAGTTTTTGGGACCAAGTCGTCCATTAGCAACTTCTGATAGAGGACATAGTCACCCAAGATTTTCCAGATACTCTTACCTACAGAATGAATTCATACGTGAATTCATTGATCATTGGTTGATTTCCCAAGAAATTTCAAAATGCAATGATTTTTTCTTATGGTTATTAGAGCAATGCCAAAATAGATATGAAATGTTACAGAAACAAGTACTTCTATACAAGAGACATGGTGACTTATCGTATTCTGTTCATGGTTCATTGCTAGCAAGCCAAAGATCATTTGTAAAAAAAGGTACACAGAGCTCATATGGTTCATTAACATCACTTCTCAAATACGCAGATGAACAAAAAGCATCATGTTCCAAACAAAAGCCCAAGAGTGCAGTTAAAATGACTTCAAGAGTAAAAGAGTTTTTAAGACATTCTAACTTATTACCTTCCATTCCTCAATCATTAAAACATTATTTTAGATTTACATCTACCGAATGTAGTTGTGCCAGTACTCAGTTCTCTGATATTACCATAATAAAGGCGAGGAGAATGTTAGATGATGCATTGTTAGAATTATATCTTTACATAGAATTGGTTAGAACCTTTCGAAACGTCAACGCAACTGGTGTAAGGAAAATTGTCAAAAAATTTGACAAAATTTGCAAAACTCACGAATTGAAATATGTGATACAAGATGTACCTGTAAAATTTATGATATTTCGTCAATATATCGACATTTCAAACCAATCAAGAGATAACAAGCCAAACCAAGAATCAGGAAGGAATAATGTAGCAAATTTTTTTATTGACAATGAAGATCCTTTAAAAGTATGGGAAGATCAAATAAAACATTGGTATACTGTTGATTTATCATGTAATCCCCAAGATAGAAAGAAACGAAATGAACAATTGAAAAAGCTTTCTTTAGAAGATAAAGTTAATGAGCGGACTATACATAGAAGTAACAGATCAATTGTGCAGATGTTTATCGGCGGTTTAGGAATTGGTTTCAGTACAGCAATTGTATTCTATATTTGTTATTGCTTGAAAACAGCAAATTCCAAGTCTGTACTTTATATGCGTTCCATACTTCTTCCATATTGGGGAAGTTGGTTTTTGATATATTTTGGTGTGCTTCTTTTCTTATTAGATAGTTATATCTGGCATCGTACTGGCATCAATTATAGATTTATTATGTTCGGAGAAATGTCACAAAGGAATGGTTCCCATTTCTTCAACCACGATTTTTCTACTTCTTTAATATCCTTGCATTTTTATTTTTTGGCATTTTTTGCATTGATTTGTGCAGTTTGTGCAGGTTTAAGTTTTTTCAAAATTAACCTTCTATTATATGCATCTTCATTTTTAATTATTTTATTTGGATTATTTTTCCTTCCAATAACTTTCATCCCATATTGGGACAAATTTAAGAGATCGAAGAGATGGATTATAGTGGGATTGATTAGATTAGTATTTTCTGGTGCATTTCCTGTCGAATTTGGAGATTTTTTTTGGGGTGTCGTATTTTGCTCTTTAACTTATTCACTAGCAGAGATAGCAGTATTTAATTGTCTTATTTCAAATACTGACAATGATTTGTGCCGCCCAATAAATCAATCTTCTGCAACTATTTTATCGTGTTTACCAAATTTTTGGAGATTTCTGCAATGTTTAAGAAGATATGCCGATTCAAGAGATGCATTCCCTCATTTACCGAATGCAGTGAAATATGCTGTAGGTGTGGCATTTAGTTATACGTTTTGCAAGTTTCGACTAGCAAAAGATCATTCAACAACAAAGTCTATTTTTATTATAGTGTCATTGGTCAACTCATGTTATACTATATTCTGGGATCTTCTTATGGATTGGTCTCTTTTCCAGAAATCCTCAAAGAATTTGTTTCTAAGAGATGATCTATATCTTGCTGGTACAAGGAATTGGAAAACCGGTGAGTATAAATTTACAAGAAGACTGTTTTATTATATTTGTATGATTATTAATGTCTCAATAAGGTTACAATGGATAGTATTTATCATATTACCGATTGATATGCGTAGTAATGAAATCACCACATATGTATTAGCTCTTACTGAGCTGTTTAGAAGAGCAATATGGATTATATTTCGTGTTGAAAATGAACATGTTGCAAATGTACAATTATACAAAGTCACAGGCGAGACTACACTACCTTATAATATTGCAGAAGATATTTCAATAGACAACTATAATTACCCACAAGATTATTCACCACTATTTACCCCTATCGATCCAGATCAATCTAATATTTCAGCATGGAAATCACATAGGGAACAGGAACGTTCATTACATAATTCAATTAAGCATAGAAGGGCATCTTTAATTGAAAACCTGTCAAATAACATGTATTGGGCGCATACAACAGATTTTCAGAGACCCCGTGCATTTTCTACTATTTTGCAAGGTTTTAATGAAAATGAAAACAATAGTTAATAGAAAGTTACGATATTTTAAACAATTCTATGTGTCATTATGTAATAGTAAATAATATAAACAAATTCATTCTTGTATCCATGTTTTTATTCCTAACCTCTAAGTCAAACGACAGAATATTGTTGAACTTTAGCATAACTAGGGGGATGCATTCTGCGATAGATACTTTTAGATGCCCAAACCGGAAATACAGATACTGCTAAAATAAGAATTAGTTCTGCATAAAATTTTAGGGTAGTAAAGTCCGATAAATCAAAATATTCTGATAAGAATGGAACAGACACTACATAGATAATAAATGTTACGATTTCAGTAATTAACATTGTTTTGTTCCATGTAGATATTTCTAAAGCGACCATAATTGTTTCATTTAAAACTAATGCAGTAAAACTTAACGCCACTAAATTTAAGAAAAAAGTTTCATTAACGCCAGTAAATACTTGAGAAAATAGCTGAATAATACAACCTTGGTAAATAGACAATGTTACCCATACAAAAAATGTTTTGTATGAGAGACTCTTTCCCTCTATCAGATCCTTATATAGCTCTGGATATACTTTAACCAGGGATTTCTTAATATCAGTATCTAAAGTTAAGGAGAAAACTGGAGCCATGGTGTAACAAGTTGCATAACCAACCATTAGCCACCCTTGGTAAAGGGCAATAGGTTCAAATTTTGAACATATAGAAAAGACTGCCTGACATATTGCAATAACTAGGCCTCTGTGCATCACAAATTGTGACAGTTTAGCAGATCTTTTGTAAGAGTTTCTACCATGCCATAATAGCAATTCTGTCAAATGACAGAACTGTGTTATAGAGAAATCAGCAGCAAGGGATGCTTGTTTACCTTCCTTACCGACAATACCAACACCAACATCTGCACATTGAATCATACTAACATCATTACCACCATCACCAATACAACATACTCTTTTTCCAGTAAAATCTCTAATAAGAACTGCAATATCTGCTTTTTGTTGAGGTGTGCAACGACATGCAACAATTGAAGGTAAATGTATTACAGCATTAAAAAATTCAACCTTATAATATGTTAAGTACATCCCTAAGGATTCACCATCAATCAGAAGGCATGCATTTCTATTCACATATAGATATTCCAGATGGTTTAATGCGTTTTCTGGCTTATGCAACTTGGTGATTGTGTGCACATATTGACCTCTGGATATTAATTTAGCACTGATAGATACACAGCGCGCAGTTTCGACTTTATCACCAGTTAACATCCATATCTTAATACCAGCATTTCTCAATAATTCAATAGAAGATTTAACATCTTTTTGTAGCTTATCTTCCACACCAGTCAATCCCAACAGTTCCAAATCATGCTCTAAAAATTTTGAAACCACATCAGACATCTGGGATTCTCTATTATTCATTTCTAAAGAAGCCTTGTTGTATTGTGAGGAAAATTGTTCATATACTTTATGTGACAATTTTTTTCTACCAAAAACTAACGTTCTTAAACCTTCACGAGCCATATTTCCAACTTCTTCATCTAACCAAGTATTGCTGCTTACTATTTTTGACATCACACTATCGGCACCTTTTTCCATAAACCAGTATGTATCATTCTGTTTATCTAAAACTATAATACCCATACGCTTCGAATCTGAATTAAATGGAAATATATGCAATATATCATATTGGAATTGTTCGTTAGTGCTGTCATGAAGTAATGTCATTGAATGACGATCTCTCTTGTATAGTGTAAGACCAACCTCTTCCGTATATTTAACTATCGCAATTTCATCAGGCGATGCTGCTTGATAAGTTATTTCATCTTCAACAGTCGTTGGGATGACATTATGACAAATTGCCATTGAGAGAATCATATCGCATACTCTGGAATGGATCTGCTTTCTCGAAGCAATGCTGTTTGTACCATTCATTGAATTATTAACGAAATTTGAAACATATTCTGTGACAATATCTGTTGTTTCAGTAGTGTAAGATACAGTACCTAAATGAACTTTGCGCAATTGCATTTCATTCTGTGTCAACGTACCAGTTTTATCACTTAACAAATATTCGATACGACCTAAATCTTCGGGAATTGTACTCGTTCTAACTATAGTTTCAGGTATGGTATTATCATGCTCTATCTGATAGGCATATACTGATTTTGCTAAGTCTAAATTAACTCTTAACGATACTGGGATAATGGTGGAGAATAGAATTAGGTATCTCATAATATCGATATACCAGTCCTCATTATGAAAACCTGCAAATGCAACTAGTAATATCGATAAAGCAAAAACCGATACACATAATAGTTTTGAAAGAGAGTTAATTTCTAATTCTATTAAACCAGTCTTAACAGAAGATTTTGTTGTATTCATTGATTGTCTTGTGTCCCTACCTGTATAGACGACGCAAGCGATACAAGTACCACTTGAAGCAACTACTGTGTTTGCCCACAGAGTGTTATCAATAGTTAAAGGGGATGAAATGGAATCTGAAAGATCCACAGCGACCTTTCCTAAAAAACTATGAATTGATTTTTCAGGTGGAGATGCGTTTATCGTAGTTTTTTCAATCAGTTCACTTTCTTGTAGTGACTGTGTAATTGGTGGTGCGATTCTTAACTTCCAGTCCGTTTCCCCATCCAATTGATCGGTTTTGATAAATGCTTCACCAGTAACCTCACTAGTCTGTAACAAAACGGAGTCAGCAGGAACTCTTGATCCTTTTTTCAGTCTTATCAAATCTCCAACTCTCAGATCTTTACTGGTAACTTGGCCATCCTTTTGTAATACTTCATATAGCTCATTATTTAATTCTTTGTCACGGCTCCTCCTTTGAATGTCGTCAGTAGCCTCTTTTAACATTGTAACGGTAATAACAAATGCTAATGGCACTATATATGAGGATAAGTAACCAATTCTTAGTACTGGAACAGCCTGAGATAATGCAACAACTAGGAAATATAGATTAAAAAAAAATTTAAACTGTTCATATAATAGTATTGGAACAAACGTTAACGGATGATACTTCGCATTAGAAATTTGATTCCCAGAATATGGCTTTTTTTGATTTAAATGAGTATTCCCAGGTTTTATAACCCTTTCAGTATTTTTATTATTTATTCTTATTTGTGAATTTCTAGATTTCAATTTCTTTAATCCATCACTTATTCCTGAACTAATACTTGATAGAGCTTTATGAAAAAAATTCCTTTCCTTGGAAAATCGATTAGTAAGATTATTCACATCTGCAATTGTGTCAAATGAATCTCTATGTGGATCATTTAACAAAGGACGGGTATTAGAATGTATAGACTTACGAATAGTATCATTATTATCTGATTCGGTTCCTGAAATGGTCCTTAGCTCAATTGTTTCATTATGATTATCATTATTCCATTCATCGCCCTTGTAACTACTATTATTAATATCTTGAGTTTCAAAGGTATCCCCAAGGTTATTAATATGAATGTTATCTAAAGCTTCATCTAGCGAATCTGTACTATTACTTTGCCTAATATTATAGTGTAGCACTTTATTCCCATTGTTTGGACCTGGTGGCAGGGAAAATGCCATCTTATACAGATATTATATCTTGCCAGATCTTAAACTACTAATCTAATCAATAGAGTATGCAAAGTAACCAACAAGTTATACCCTTTTTATCATATTTTTACATTTATTGAAACACTAACTTATATTTAGGCTCAAGTCTCTTATAACTAAACCTTCGTTAGCCTTCATTTGATATTTTGATACATGTCGTGAAAGATGATAATAATACAAAGAATTATTGGCGTCACAGTGACAAAATGGCGCCAGTAATAACTGACACTTCGCCTATATTAAACCAATTAATGGTTTCCAATTCTAGAAGCAAGTTACTCTAAATCTCATTTCATATAATACGATGAAATGACTAGAATTTAGAACAAATTAACATGATACACTATATTCCTTTTGTAATTTGGGGACTAATATACCTAGTCTATTCTGAAATTTAAAATTCTATAAAAAGGTTATCGTTAAATAAGTTATAAAAAGTTTGAATGGAAACTCTGGTAACGAACAAAATATTCAAACACATTTGGGCCTAATTTCTTTTGAGTAGAAGAAGTAATAACAACCAAAGAGGGAGTAGTTTGAATAGGGGGAAAAGGGGGTTGTTAGAATATGATCGTTTAAAAAAAGCACATCAGTATTCAACGACCAAAGTATTTTAATTCTAGTGGCCTCAAGATATTGTAGATAATAAAAGCCCAACTACTTGCTAATTCAAATCCAATGTCACCGCCATCTGTTCCAATTAATCTTGCGATGTTACCTACCCAATAACTTTGCGCCATACCTAGGGCGATACCAATAATGGAGATACCGAATGCAGTACATCCTGCTATACCAATCGGTAGCTTATCCCAGCTGTTCCAATCCTCAGGGTTGTAACCTTTGAAACCACGTCTCCAAATAAAATGTTCAGAACAAGCAATACATATATACACTGCCAAATAATAACTAATGGAATCCATGAAATTAGTTAAGAATTTCTCAAATTTGTAGTAAGCAGGAATTGCAATTGCAATTACAGCAATATTACCCAGTAATGTCCAAAACACTCTTGGCACTTTTGATAAAGGATTCCACAACGACTGTGCGGATAATGCAATGGAGTACATATTAGGGATGTTAATGGCTATTGTTGATAAAGCCAATAACACACAGCAGAATTGACCAAATCCACCAACAGAGTCGATGGATAAGATTGCAAAAGTCAATCCACCTACAGAATATTTGTCATAATATTCTTTCCAAACAGGATCGTTGAAAGTTCCCATCGCAGCAGCAGCACCTAGAATTTGGGTGAAAAGTAAAGGAATTGTCAATCCCACAGAAACAGAGAAAAAAATCTTATATTTGTTAGTATTTCTTGGCATGTATACGGTATAGTCTGAAGCATAGGTAGCCCAACCGGCAGCAAACCCATAGATGGCACTTCCAAATGACAATACACCTCCAGCGGTGTTGGCACCTCCACCCCAAGGACCATTTGAGAAATTGCCAGATCTAGCCAAACGAGCAATAATAACTAAAAAAACAGCAAAATTTGGAATCCAACAGTATTTTTCATAAGTATGAATAACCCTATAACCAAATAATGATACCATAATAGTACCACCAATAATAATCAAGACACCTGCCCATGGCGGACAGTGATGTGGGCCAGGATTAACAATACTAATCAATTGAGCTGATGCAATAGTATTAATAATACCCCAGCCAGCACAAGCAATAACATTAATAAAAGCAAATATCCTTGCAGTTACATTACCAACTAAAAATCTTGATAATACCATCTGCCTTAAACCAAATTCAGCACCGAATACCGAAAAGAACGCAACCGGTGCCATACCTATAAGGTTGAAAAAAATAATGGTTAATACAGAAGTACCAAAATTTAATCCATAGGCCAATGGACCAATAACACCTAAAGCGTAAGAAGCTACTACCATGTTTGCGGAAAACCACATTGAAGCTGCATTTAAGACAGAATTATCATCTTTTTCATCATCAGTAACAGGTTCGATACCTTTTGTTTCAGCATTTAATATTGAACCAATTTTATTGAAAAAAGTAAAATTTTTTAATGACAATTGATTATTGATGCCAGACGATGTATCATCTAACTCATCATCTGCTGTATAATTAAATTCTGTAAAAGGTTCCTTTTTTTCGCTGGCAATGGTTTTATGGGTCACATCGTGTGACTCACTAGAGTCTGAATAGACAGAACCTAGTAATCCAGGATTGCCTTCGATATCTAATTCGGTAGATAATACTCTATCTTTGCCAACAAAACTTGACGACATAATTAAATAAAACTAAACTAAACAAACAACGATTGAGCCAGAAAAAATTTAAAGAAAAATTTTTTTTTCTAATTACAGTAGTTAAAGAGAAAAAAAAATATTAAAATCTTAAGCTGACACTGACACCAAATCTCAAGAAATATTGGAAAACAAATCCAACTAATTCAATTAGGAGTTGAGTTTGACGCCAACTGATTGCACCTATGAAGAATGCTCTTAGTACTTCCCTTATACAAACAATAGATATATAACGTCAAGATGTGATTATAAGTTTGAAAGACACTTGCATATAATCAAATATTTCTTATTATATATATATAGTTAGTTTAAGATTTGAAAACAAGGATGTGGCATGTTGGTTTAGCTCTTCCGTAGTTGGACTGGTTACGTCGAGATGGCAATTTCGTTCAAAATTAACTGTCGCCAGATAGAAAGAGTATCAGAATCAATTTCTATAGTTAAAAAAAAACATGTAAAGAGTTTCTCCTGAACAACGAGACATGGGAAAACTGTGTTGTGTTTTTTCTGTCTGGTCTATTTTGAATTGTTGTTTAGACTGCCGAAATGCAGCATTTCGATATCTCGATTTTAGGTAGCTACTTATAACTGAAAGTAAATCGACAAATCGATCTATCTTAGCTTCTTGTTGCAGCAAAATTGTGCGTGTAAGTTTAAAACGTAGGTGTATGTATATAAGACATATAATTATATATGCAATTCAAAATAGATGCCAAACAGCACTTAAGAATATGTAAGTTTAGCATAATCTAATGTAAGTTGCTGTGCTAGCTGTCTCTTGGTCGACCGGCCTGTTACTGGGAAATATAGGGTGTATAGGAAGATGGGCAGGAAGTGCAGCTTGAGGGAGATATGGCAAAACTTGGTCTCTGACTCGGATGGCTACAGTTCAGTGAGATTTTTTTTTAATGTAATCTAAACATATTTTGGTAGCGTCATGGAGGATTCATGTTTTTACTCTGATCTGATTGCAACTGTCACAGAGAGTATACCGTAGAACAAGCCCAAAAAACGACACACACACAGAAAAAGAAACGAAAACAGCTCGATTTAAAAGAAATACAAAAAGAAACAAAAGTGTTCTGCAGAAGGTTCTTGCTGAGACATCGACAGATTCCAGTTTTGGCTGGTGGCTTTGAGCTACTTGTATAAGGTATTGGTGGAAATTTACATTGCAGACGGTGTGACGTACAGAAGCACATGACATCTGCGTTTGACAATTGTCTATTTTCTATTATCTGTTCACTGTCCCTCTCGATCGATTGATATGACTTGGTCCAATCGTATGAATATAGCTAATTATTAATATAGTTGCTTATTAACAGAGAGATGCTGTACTTTGGTACAGTTGAAGAAAGGGTTTTTCTGTGATTAATAAAAAAATCAAAGTCTAATTGATTGGTTAAATTCTTCCACTTCATCAAACTACAAATGCAGAATATTTTGTAGTTTAGTTAGATGTCTCGGAAAAATACCACACTACGGTTCTTTCCAACTTAAGTTTTTCCGAATCATTTGTATAGTCCCGTTCAGTTTCTTCCAAACTGGAAATATACAGGTACCGGCGCTATCATCTAAATATTGTTGTTGAAGGAAATGGAGTTAATATGTTAAAAAATTACGGCGACAGTGACACTACAATTGCCAATTGCAATGTCAGCAACCATGTGTTTCCTGGCGTATCCATTGCTATGAATTATTAGTGTGGCTGGAGGTGTAATGCATCGATGTTTATATTAATTTAGGTACTGGACTACAGAGTTACATATATATAGTCTTATACAAATTGTCATTCCAAAAAATTAAAAAAAAATATGTTTCTAAATTTTGGTATGTTGGTTGGTATATTGATGTGTACAATTAATAACCTTTAAAAAACCATGAATTATAATAATATTACCTTTTGTTATATCAATTTTCTGTTTTTATTTTTTTCCCCCTTCACTTATAGTTCTAAAAAATCATTAAATTATAAAATAAAATAAGCAATATCGTAAGGTGGAAACCTGGGAATAAAATAAAAAACACAATTTTTAAAATTTGGTATAACACTTACTTTTGTCTTGTGTGTATATAAAAATAATTAGATGAAAAAAGAAAACTTTCTATACTATTTAGTTTCTCTTCTTACCTTTCTTGGTCTTCTTAGCGGCTTCTTTCTTAGCAACTTCGGTTTGTTCCTTGACGACCTTCTTAACGATCTTTTGTTCTTCGATCAAGAAAGCTCTGGTGATTCTTTCCTTGACACAGTTGGAACATCTGGAACCACCGTATATTCTAGAAACAGTCTTGTGAGTCTTAGAGATGGTAGCGTATTTTCTTGGTCTCATGGCGGCGACACCTGGTAAACAAATACCACAATCACCACACTTTGGTCTAGTAGCTAACTTTTTGACATGTTGAGCACGTAAGATACCACCTGGGGTCTTAACAACCTTGATCTTGTTAGAACGGGTATTGTATGGGTTTCTTCTTCTGAAAGTAACACGTTGAGCCATTGTTTTATTGGTTTTTCCAGTGAGCACAGCCTTTTGAAATGAGTTGAAATTAAAAAGTAAAGATATGACCAGAAATCTACTAAACACTTTTATATAATAATAAGGGCGTCTATTGCCTCATAACCAACAAATCAATTGTATAATCTTCAATTGTTTTTATTGCATCTTACTTAGTCTCACCAAACGATTGCAGTGATGATGATGATGATGATGATATCTGAAACTTTCATCATATTATTCCAAAAGAGCTATTCCATCTCCCGTTGAAAGAGTCGCTTGCTAATGGATTGAACAAATCGGGCGGGTTTCTGTGTTGTATTTCCTCCGGTCACGTTTTTTTAATATTTTTTTTCATTTGTTAATTGAGGAAAATGATGGAACAACTCTGAGAAAAAACAAGTTTTGTCTCGACATTTTCAAAATGTACGAAATTCAAAATAGAAAAAGTGAGTGTCCACCCATCCACCACGTTATTTGTTGGTACATCTGTACATTACACGATGAGTTCGAAAAATACAGTCATAAAAAGTGGAGGTTACAAATTATTTATCGCATACACATTTTGAGTCGACGAAATGTCTCTCTCTATCTGTTGCTGTTTTGAAAGGACCGAGCCATATACAAATTTATTTGCAAACGATAGATGACGTACTTGTGAAATTGTAGTTAATGTAGTAAATGTATTAAGTTATATAAGAGATCATATTTAATTTGTAGACTAACAGGTAATTTAAATATCTCAGTGTTATGTTTGTGTAACGAGATGATTATGTTTAATCAGTTATCCTTTTCAGCTGCAATAACCTCCATTTCTAAATCAACGTTTAATGGCAATGCAGCGACAGCAACACATGATCTAGCAGGTTTATGAACGTTAAAATACTTGGCATAGACAGAATTGAATTCTTGGAAATTTTTGATATCTTTCAAGAAAACATTCACCTTAATAACTCTGTCCAAAGAAGAATTGCTTGCTTCCAAAATATTTGTTACATTTGAGAATACTTGTTCAGCTTTATCAGAGATTGAGCCTTCAACTGGTTTGTTTTCTGGAGTGTATGGAATCTGACCAGATACAAAGATCAAATTATTGGCCTTCATCGCTTGTGAATAAGAAGCAGCAGCAGGTGGTGCTGACTTGGTGCTGACTGGAGTCAAAGTAGTCAAACGTCTAGCTAAAGGAGTTCTAAATAAGCTGTTTCTCAACATGTTGCAATTGATGTATGTGGGAGATTGATCTGGGAGTTAAGGAAGGAGTTTAACGTGGAAAGGTTTTCTCTATACGCTCAATCAAATCAAATCGAATCAAATTTATAAAGCTATTTATATATATGAACTCCATCTCCATCTCCAACTCAACCTCTATCTCTATCTCTATCTCCTAGAAATTTGGTTTAACAATGGTTGGCATAATAAAGGAATCCCAAACTCTATTCGATCCCCTGTGGAAATACAATTCCACCTGACCCGTACTCAAAATTAAGCCAAAAAAAAACAGCGCCTGTTGTTTTTTTGCTTAATTTTTCTTGGTTCGAACTTGCGGGAACTATTCTCCACCTGCCTTTCTTGAACAAATTTGGATAACGAGAAATGACAAATGGGCCAGTTCGACTTATTCAGGAACCATACCCAATAAACCATTCAGGTGTCATTAATTTATCTGATCTACGATCACTGTTGTTGCAATCTTCAGATACTATTGGTACCTATTTAAGCATACCAGAGGTGTCTGTGACATTGTTGCTGTTCGTTTACTCTTCCCATTGGATTGTACTTAAAGCTCCACGACACAGTGGTAAATACAGGTTAATATCTAGGTTTAAACTAAACTAAGCTAGGCTAAACTCAGCTAAACTCTAACAAAACATGGTAATACTCCAGTAAACCCTTATTCTTCTCATCTTGACCCTCTCTCTCTCTGGTTCACAATGATGTGTCACGTGATACAATATTACTCTGGTCTCTAAAATTTATTACCATACAAATTTCGTTTTGGCAAAATAACAACACGGTGAAAAATAAAGGACCAAAAGTTATATAAAAGACAACGTAACGTAGTTTATTCTTGTTGCAATTACTCTAAAGGTGATCGATTACTTTATAGGAAACAGGTTCAACTGTTGTAATATATATACTCCGGTATTGTAACTATTGTATTGTGTTTGATTCAGGTATTCTGGTTTGATATTTAGATAATATTAACAAATTCCTATTCGACTGCTGATATTTATAGTTTCAATTCTGCAATATATTTATATAAATAATCATTAAGGTTTCCCTTATACAAACTAATTATTGCACTGGCAATAATATAAATTACTGTTATCAGTCGTGCAAATAAACTATTTGTTTCCTAGTATATTCTCTCTGTGATCATATTTTACTGATTTGTCTTTAATTTTTGAAAATAAATTAAAAAAATAAAAAAAATATAAGGTCATATATATTTATTAATCATCTTTTCCCTATCAAATATTCATTTTTAATCCTTTTATTCCATTGAAAAGATATATATTTATATATATCTATATCTTCATCCACATACAGCCACGTATTGACTCCGAATGAATAATCTTCAATCCAGCAGTGCTGTGGATCCCATTGCTATCCCTGCCTCTTCTTCAGTGAAAACTAAAATACAAACCAATTATGACTTCAATAGCAGTAGCGTCGAAAGTAATGTAGATTCATCTGGAAACGCGAATGTTGCTAGACCAGCATCGACTACTGTTAACTATATCTCTACAGGCAGCAGTAATAGTACAGATGTGGTACAAGAAGATTCATTGGTCAAAAATGCTGATGTAAATGATAAGGATGCTAACGAATCAGGGATTGCCAGTCCCGCTAATAATTCAAACAATAATACTTATATTGATAGTGGTAATGCTAGTCAAGATGGCCGTGATATACGAACAAATGTCGAACATTCACAAGAATCTATACAACCTTTGCAAGTACGAAAAGATGATCAAAAGAAAGTTGAAGTTGAAACTGATGAGCAATTGCGCTATAGTCCCCTTGATATTGCGGAATTCCCGACTGATAAGTTACTAGAAATGTTAACTGCATTATTAGATAAAATTATTAAATCAAACGATAGACTGGCATTGATGGGTCCAGATTCTAATAACGATTTATTGATGAACAAAGATAATAGCATGGCTCAATCTGTGTTGAGTTTCCGTGGTAAACACATTCCTCAAATTAGTTTAGAACAGTATTTCCAAAGAATTCAGAAATATTGCCCGATAACAAACGATGTTTTTATATCTTTATTGGTATATTTTGATAGGATTTCAAAACGATGTAATAATTGTGTCCCTTCTCAAGACAACCCTGATGGAGAAGATACAAATAATAAAAATGGTAATGATAATGATAACAACAATGACTATTATAATAGCAATATTAATAATAGTAGTAACAATAGTAATAATAATAACAATAATAGTAGTAATAATAATAGTAATAACAATAGTAATAGTAATAATAATGGCATCAATGAAAAAAATCATAATTCCCAGCATCAACAATTACAAATATTTGTAATGGATTCATATAACATTCATAGATTGATCATCGCAGGTGTCACTGTCAGTACAAAATTTTTCAGTGACCTATTTTACAGTAATTCAAGATACGCAAGAGTAGGGGGCATCTCATTGCAAGAATTAAACAACCTAGAGTTACAATTCCTTCTCATGTGTGATTTCCACTTGCTAATTTCAGTGGAAGAACTACAAAGATATGCAGATCTATTGGCAAGATTTTGGCAAAATAATTTAAAGACAAATGAAAACTTAAACTAAATTTATTGACCATTTCAAATATAATAAAAAAATGGGTTTTTAATTAACATGTGCATAAACTAGAGAATAACACAGGTATTCAGGTATATTTCTCACTACCTTACTTCAATTTTAATAATAATAATAGTAACAGTAATAATAGTAACAGTAATAATAATAGATGTATTCTAATATTTGATTCTAATGTATATATTCATTTAATAAATTCGTTAACCTTTACTTAACCATTGTAAAACCTTCATTTTCTATATATTTTGAAGTTTGTTTCATATTTGATTCAATAAAGTTATAGCGACGGACTCAAATGTATCGCGCTTTAAAGATAAAATATTAAAGAAAGGTCATATGTAAAGGTTGAAAGTTTGTTGAAACAGTTATAAATCTATAAGTGATAAAGTTTTAACACATAGTTCAGATGTGTTATATAGATGTCATCAAAAATAAATTAAATTTGACAAATAAAAATTATATATATAACATTATTTAATGAAATATTTTGTAAAAGTTACATCTCTCAATTTCAACCTGTCATAATGTTAAAATATCAAAAAAATATAATAAAAATAAATACAGTTTAGTCAGAAAATAAACATGTCATTAGACGAATCGTTTGTTCATTTCTTGAACAGTCTCGGTGAAAGATATGAATTTAGTGTCTTGTTAAGGGAAATTGGACATCCTAGAAATAATGACGGTAAAGAGTTTACCTTTGGTTATTCATCCGCTAATGTATTGAAAAATGCTTCACATCAAATCGATAGCTTAGTCGATTTGGAGAAAATGGTAGTTATTCCTAGACACAATGCTCATTTGCTTACAGCAGAAAATTATAAGCATATTAAATTACCTATTGAAAATAAAATGTTAGTTCAAAAATACATTTTGAATGCATTCAAATTTATAAGGCAAGTGCCATGTAAGGCAATTTCAAAAGAATGGATTAAAGTCATAGAACCGAAAAAGAAGACAAAGTTCCCTTATATCAAAGGCGACATTACTAAGCCAGCTTGGTGGCCTGCGGATGTTGAACATAGGGAACCAGATCATTTGCAAAAGCCTGATAGATTGAAACTGATGTGTTGCATCGTAATAGAAGTTCTACCTAGATTAAATAATCTTTCTATTGTTGAAGAAATGGAAAGGGCCACCTACGCATTATCCTTGTTGAAAAGAGATCCTGTAAAAGAAGAAGTTATTAAATCAGTATTCAGAATTGTCAAAGCTACTATTAATAGAGATTCAATGGTAAGTATAATCGATTTGCTTTCTCTGAAATCAAAACCTGCCTCCAAGTCCAACTCAAAACAACGTCAATACATAAAAAATAGAATCAGGTCATATAGTGGAGTAATACAACAATCTTTAGATACCACAGAACAAACAGAGTCTGAAATATCCGAAAAAAGTTATAAAGACCAAACTCCTATTTATGATAATGAGCTAAAACTTCAACATAGTTATAATACTGATATAACACCTCTCCCCACACCAGTTCTAATAGATTTTTTAATAGACAGTGATCCTGATTTAACCAGGTATATCGAAAATATGTGTAAGTATGAATCCTCCCCAGATGAATCCACCGATCCCTAAATATTGCATTCAATTAAATAACATCAATAACATAAATAATTTCAACAATACATGGACATTTTAATAATATGAAATGGTTCAAAATTTAAAAAGTGTTAGTAGACCCAATCAAAGTATCAATTTCATTTAATAATGTAAAATCAAAATTGTACTCTAGTGCAAAATCAGTACCATGGGATAATGCACCAAATAGTTCATCGTGGTTATCTTGATTATCTAAAAACTTTTTCGCTAATTCGTAGTTTAAGGTTGAGGACTCTAAAAATCTTTTAAAGTCAACTTTAAAATCTTTTCTTATCAAATCTGAGTTCATACATTGTATAGCTAAAATCGCAGAATATACCATATAAAGATTGCATTTTTCAAAACTTGTAAATGACCTCTTCCACGCATTGAATAAGTAATATAATTCTTCTATTGATTCTTCGATCAATGATCGACTCTGTCTAAATTCGAATATAAATGGTTTATTGTATGATATCAATACGATATGATAATGGAATAAAATATATGAGGTAGTTGGATTGAAAACTTTTAGTTCCTTTAATCTACTTTTCGACCAACCTAACTCTGGCGGGAGATTAATTTTCCAATTATACATTTCCAGGTTAAATTTCGACAAGAATTCACTTCTTTGGTTTAACGTATCTGCATGAGTAAAAATCTTGCTTGCAAAAATTTCTGTTATTCTTGATAGCACAATCAATTTTTTCAATGGTGCAGCTGTTGAAAGAAGAACTCTTGGTTCATATATAAAATCTTCGATACCTGACTCAATTTCTGGTAATTCATCGGTTTCAGGAACTGTAGAACTTGACAATTTTAAAATAGTTGATCTCCCAAATAAAACAGATATCAAATGATCAGCTAAATAGCATCCCCAGTAAATTCTACTTCTAACTTCAAAATCAAGAATTAATAATTCGTCTTCATAAACTGTATTCCATGCCTCTGGGTTTAGATGTAAACCAATTTCATGAGCAATTCTAAATGCTAATCCAGATAAATACCAAGCCATTGGATTTTCTCCACTTCCAATATCGAAAAAGGCTAAACACAATAGAGTTTGGATAATGGCTAATTTGGATGATGACGTTGAGTCAGCAAAAGAAGAATCTTCTAATTGAAATATTTTCTTCAGCACTATAGATTTTGCAGTCTGATAATATTCTTTGGATTTTGTAAATAATTCATCGTTGGTATCTGATAGTTTGGAACCTAGGGCAGATATTGCGTATACCAATTCTTCAGAACAGTAATAACTCTTCGTATGTGCATCGCCAAAAAATGCACTCAAGAAAGTTTCTCTATGGATAAATAGGTAATGGGCTGGATATAACCACTTGAAGAATAAAGATAAAGATTTCAAAATCATTGGGTTTGTCGATAAATTTTTCAAAATAACTTTTAACTGGTTCTGTTCATACAACCTTCTCTTGTTTGTAATTGAAAGTGAATTTTGGGGGTATATACTACTTGAACCAACAGAGGTGACTGGGAAAGAATTTACATTCAGGTTATCAGCCTGCTCTGGCGTAGCGATATCATCAATAACTAGTGACTCAATGATTTTGTTTTTCTCTTCTTCATTATCAACTTCAGCAATGTGCTTTAGTGAAGACTCCAAATGGGCAATTCTATTTTCTAGTGTCTTGACATATGTACAAGAATATCGGCTCTTCCGCAAATCTAGGTTTACGGAGACACATTCAGAACCAAACTTAATGCAATTGGAGCATGGTACCTCAAAGTTACATTTTCTTCTCCTTTTCCTACAACCTTGGCATCTGTTTTAAAAATAATCTTGATAAAAGTTAGTCAATATTCTCAATAAAAATCAAATCAAATCAAATTAGATCCAAAACAAAAGGAAGATTCAAAAAAGAGAGGGATACATACGCTAGTTTCCTCTTTAATCCAGAACTATCAGAACCCATCTTTGGTCGTATTTTGATGGTTATGTTTAGTATTATATTGTTCATAAGTTAGTATTAAATAGGTCCAATTGTTTTTATATTTCTATTGATGTTGATTCGATATATATTTCAAGATGAGCTTACGGTGCTACCAAATATCGGATATAAGTTGAATTAGATTAATAACGATGATTATGACGGATAGAGATAGACGTCGAATAGCTGGACGTTTAAACGGTTAAGGATCTAATATAAGAATATTGGATATTTTATGTATTGTTCAGTACCATAAAGAATTAAAATAATTAAATTATTAGGTTCACTCTAAAGCTTATGATAAAATGTATGAAAATGAAGGGCAGTCAACAAAAGGTAATCGGAAAAGCCCAGTAATGTTAATGACTTGACTTATCAAAATACCCAAATTCTTACTCATCTTACGTTTTCTTTATTAGCATCCATCTTGAAATATATTAATATCAACAGTATACCTTTTTTCACTTTCAATTAATGGAATGCCATTCATATTATTGTTCATTAAACCACACAATTCAAAATAAAAAAGCAAGCAAAACCCAATTCTGCAATAAACAATTATAGAAAACTACATTATGCAATTAGGAGAAACCTATCCATTTATATACAAATGTATATTACGTTGTCTTCTTTATTTACTGTCATCATATTTATCAATGGCACTAATCTCATCGTCCAAATTTCAAGCCTTTTTAAAAAAAAGGTTCACGTTTGTTAAAAACAGACCATATTTAAACAAGATGATCCTGTTTAAACAGAAACTCGACGAAAGGATCGGTAGCAATCTTTGGAATGTTGATATACTTGGGAGGATTAGTCGTTATCCAAGTTCTTTTATTAGTACTTTCACCAATATTTAAATTAACATGGCCGCTTTCAATTTATTACACCAAGTTCTATAGACCATTTTTCCTAGATAAAGAGAGATATCGTTGGAAATACTACTTAGTTCCTGGACTATACTTGGGTTTATATCTGTTTGTTATTATTTACTATCATTTGAGAGTAAACTTCATGGTTAACCCTCATTTGTACTGGTTTGAAAAGGGTCTCATATTACCTATCATGTTCACATCATTACCATATTTCGGAGTAATGACTATGATTACCAAACCTGAGAATAGCATAGAACATGGAATTAATTCAAACAATAGGTACAGATTTGACGAGATACTATACTTCCCCAATGTGTCTTGCAAAACATGTAGAAAACCGAAACCTGCTAGATCTAAACATTGCAGTATTTGCGATAAATGTATACTTCTACAAGATCATCACTGTATATGGGTGAATAATTGCATAGGAATGGGTAACTACAAATGGTTTTACTTGTTTATTGGTGGAAATAGTTTGACAATGATATATTGCTTCACAAGATTATTATTCATTAGCATAAAATACAAAGTAACTTCCTCAAGAGCAATTTTAACTATGAATATCTTATGTGGAAGTTTTGCAATCATCTGTTCAGTGTTTACATATTTGCAGCTAGATTTAGTAAGCCAAGGAATAACCACCAACGAAATGGATAAGTGGTATACAATTCACGAATACTGCAGAGATGGTAAATTGGCAAGATCTAAATCAGGAAATTGGTTCCTGATAGATTCAAACAATACATTCTACAGTACAAATATATACGACCACACAAGATATTCACCAACCCAATATACCATCATAAATGACCCAACTGATATACAAAACATTTATGATAAGGGCTCTTGCTGGTTAAACTTTATCGATATCTGTACCACGTGATACTAACTATGAGTCAAATTTTATAGTCGGTTTTTCATTGAAGCAAAAATGCTGGAAAATATTTTTCCTAGGAAAAGCTCAAAGCTTAGGGGCAATTGGATATTTTAGAATGTAATTTGGAAATGGTTTAAAACGTTAACTAGATCAATTGTACTTTTATTACTTTTAATTGGGCCTTTTGAGATTTAAAGGAATAGGTATAGAATAATCCAACAATCCTAGTTTTGATTCTAAGTAGTTCTGGTGCGGAATTGATCTAGATCAATTAACAAAGGATAAGTTTTAAAGAAAACTTTGATTGTAAAGGTAAAATTTAAGTTTGTTTCTTTAATAAATTTGTAATTTAGAAGTATATCACTTACGTTTACCGATTATTTAATTGATTAGGGATTGGATTTATAGTAGGACATTAGATAATATGGTTCCTTTAGAAAAGATTCCAATTTTAGGGAAGGATACCATCCATGTTGGTTTCAACATTAAGCAACATATGATTGACACAATCATAAATGATTGTAAATCATCTACCTATGTTATTATTAATGATACCAATGTTGCTAAAGTACCATACTTTCAAGAATTTGTCGAAGGTTTCGAATTGAGTTTACCTGAGGAATCCCGTTTATTAAAATATGCAGTTAATCCAGGAGAACAAAATAAAACTAGAGAGACTAAAGAACGAATTGAGGACTATTTATTAACTCAAGGTTGTACTCGTGATACTGTAGTAATTGCCATCGGTGGTGGTGTCATTGGTGATATGATTGGTTTCGTTGCCTCTACATTTATGAGAGGTGTGCGTGTTGTTCAAATCCCAACTTCTTTACTATCAATGGTGGATTCTTCAATTGGTGGTAAAACTGCAGTTGATACTCCATTGGGTAAGAACTTCATCGGTGCTTTTTGGCAACCATCTTTTGTTTTAGTAGATATTAAATGGTTAGAATCTTTACCAAAACGAGAATTTATTAACGGTATGGCCGAAGTCATTAAAACTGCTTGTATTTGGAATGCTAGTGAATTTGATAGATTGGAGTCAAATGCTGACACATTCTTGGATATTGTTAATAACGCTAAAATTATCCAAGTCTCAAACAAAGTTACTGGTACAGTAGACCACATCTCCAATACCAATGTCGAACTAATGTTAGAACATACCTACAAGTTAGTTTTGGAGAGTATTAGAGTTAAAGCCGAAGTTGTATCTGCAGATGAACGTGAATCCAG